GCTCTGCCTGCGTGTCCTGCCGACACCAGGAGGCCGGGTCCCTCCCTTCCCCCGACCCAGCCCTGATGTGGGCTCCGGGCTCTGGGCGGCCCTGCTCTAAGGCACCTGCCTCGTGACACCTCTCCTGGCCCCACCCGCCCACTTGACACGTCCGAGATGACCCCTCCCTCCCGAGGGGGGACCCGCGGCAGGCAGCTGGCCGAGGTCCCACCTGCCGGGCCGGTGCTGAGCCTGCACTGCCCCCCCTCCCAGGCCGTGTTCGACTGCGTGGTGAACTCGCTGAAGAACGTGCTCAACATCCTCATCGTCTACATGCTCTTCATGTTCATCTTCGCCGTCATCGCCGTGCAGCTGTTCAAGGGCAAGTTTTTCTACTGCACCGACGAGTCCAAGGAGCTGGAGCGGGACTGCAGGTGGCCGAGGGGGCAGGGCCAGCGCGGGGGCGGGGGGCGTGGGGATGCCCTGCGGGGAGGGTGTGCACCTGTCCCAGGACCACATGGGCTCCTGGGTTGGGACCAGCACATGGGGCGCCAGGCTCTTCCTCCCCAGATATGCAGGGAGCTCCCTGCACAGGGATGGCTGGAGGTTCTGCAAACCCCCAAGACCAGGCCCGGCCCCAGGTCAGCAGGGCTGCCCGAGGCTGTAGCCACTGCCACCGTCCTGGGCGGGCCCATGGCCGGGCACGTGGGGAGGCGCCCGCAGAAGTGGGGGCAGGGGGGTCGCTGCGTGTGGCCCCGAGCAGGGCCGCGCCATCTCCCTCCTCACCGCAGCACTTCCGCTTGTCTGTGAGACTCCCCCTCCCTCACCCGCTGTGGCGAGGGCCATGTGGTGGGCTCCACCGTGCGGCCCGGCCACGGACGCAGGGAGTGTGCACCCACTTGTGGGTGTGGGGTGCTCGCTCGCACAGGTGCTGTATAAACTCACACTCGCCCAGTAACGCGGCCCAGAGCCCACCCACCAGCTGGCGGCCCGCTCGCTGGGGCCTCCTGGCGCGGGCATGTGTGCTTCTCTGTGGGTTAATTGGCACGAACCCCCTGGGGACGCGTCTGAGCCAGCCTGTGCCCGTTTCCCTTTAGGGTTGTCCGTCCTTTTCTGGTTGGTTTGTAGGAGTTCTTTAACCCTTGGGCGGGACGCCCCTGCCCATTCTGGCTCTCGGCGTGTCAAGGAGTGTGCGGGTGGCGTGTGCCACACTGGCCGTGCCGTCTGGCATGCGTTCCTGGCGCTCAGTGCTCAGTGGCTGGGTCAGGGCGGCCTGGGCTCCCCTCTGGAAGCTGTGTCTGCCTCTCCCGTGGCCCGACTCGCGTCTCCCTCGGGGTGCGTGACGGCACCTCCCCACGTGCTCGTGGCCTCTGTCTCCCTGCGGCAACGTCTCCTCAGACCCTGCGCCCATGTGCACCTGAGGTGCTTGTGGTTGTGACCGTGGCCGTGACCGTGGCAGTGACGCTGCGGCGCAGCTGGAGCGCTGTCCCGTGCACCATTGGACGCACACAGAGGCGACTGCTCCCCGTTCCTCTCCCCGTTCCTCCCTCTCTAAAAGCCACAGGGAAAGTAAAGTTAACAAAGTACAGAAACGATCGTAGTGGTTCTTGACATGTTCTAGACACAGCTCCCTCCTCAGAGCGACAGTTTTCAAAGGTTTGTCCCATCCTGTGAGCTGATCATCTTTTGAGGCACAAAAGCTTGAAGTTTTGGTGAAGTCCTGTGTCTGGGTTTTCACTGTTGCTGCTCGCGATGTTGGTGTCGTGTCTCCAGGTCCGTCTGCCTAAGAGGCCCCGTGTTTCTCCCGGAGCATTTCAGACGGGGCCCGGTTTGAGTTGGTCTGAGCGTGGCGTGTGCCCGGCCCGCGTCAGGCCTCAGCGTGGCGTGTGCCTGGCCCGCGTCAGGCCTCAGTGTGGACATGCGTCGCAGAGCCGACTCTGGCTCCACGCAGCGACAGCATCCAGAGCCGCCCTCACCTCTGTGTCGTCCCCAGGGGCCAGTACCTGGACTACGAGCGGGAGGAGGTGGAGGCCCAGCCACGGCAGTGGAAGAAGTACGACTTCCACTACGACAACGTGCTCTGGGCCCTGCTCACGCTGTTCACCGTGTCCACAGGGGAAGGCTGGCCCATGTGAGTGCCATGTGGCAACCAGGCAGGCAGAGCGAGGGCGGGGCCTCTGGTTCCTCCGTGTGGGTCTCACCCGCTCAGCAGGTACCCACAGGCTCCTTCCTGCCCCTGCCAGCGAGGGCGGCCGCTCTCCCAGAGGAGCTGATAGGGCGAGTGATGTCCTGAGAGCCCTTCAGTGGCTGGTGCCACAGGCGGGGGTCTCCGTGTCTCCCTGTGCTGCCCTCGGGCTGCCAGAGGGGCCTTTGTGTCCCGAGCACATGAGTAGCAGGTGCTTCCTCTGGGACCAGCAGGAACCCTCAGAACATACACCCTGCTGAGCCCTGGGCTCCTGAAGCAGGGGGAGCTGGCAGTGGGTGGGCTGGGTGTGAGCTCTCCCCTTCCTGGGACAGGGCCTCAGGCACATGGAGCCTTCCCTGGGAGGCCCTCCCACAGCCCTGCACACAGCCCTGCCGGGAAGGTCACCCACCTCCAGCGAGATGGCACTGTGGGCAGGGGCTTGGCCCACAGGGTGGCAGCACCATCTGGGCTTCCTGAGGGAGCCTGGCCTGGGAGGAAGCACCTGCCTGGCCGCCGGCCCTGATGTCGCTGTCGCTGGCCAGGGTGCTGAAGCACTCGGTGGACGCCACCTACGAGGAGCAAGGCCCGAGCCCAGGGTACCGCATGGAGCTGTCCATCTTCTACGTGGTCTACTTCGTGGTCTTCCCCTTCTTCTTCGTCAACATCTTCGTGGCCTTGATCATCATCACCTTCCAGGAGCAGGGGGACAGGGCGATGTCGGCGTGCAGCCTGGAGAAGAACGAGGTGGGCGGGCCTCCTGCACCTCCGCGCAGCGGTGGGCGGGCCCTCTGGCTCCCGCAGCTCAGGGCAGGGAGGCTGGGAGGTCAGCTCGGCTGCCTTCTCGCACGGGGCTGCCCGCGAGGGGAGGTGCTGCGTGGGTCCCCGCTGAGCTGCGGGCACGGCTTTGTCCCGAGCAGAGAGCGTGCATTGACTTCGCCATCAGCGCCAAGCCCCTGACGCGATACATGCCTCAGAACAAGCAGTCCTTCCAGTACAAGACGTGGACATTCGTGGTCTCACCGCCCTTCGAGTACTTCATCATGGCCATGATCGCCCTCAACACCGTGGTGCTGATGATGAAGGTGCGTCCGCGGGCCGGCCTGCCGCCCACACGGGCGCGGGAGCTGCAGGCACTGCCTGGTCAGCACAGGCGCCCTGCGGGCCTATCACTGGCTGCAGGCTGAGACGGGAGAAGGTCTGGGAGGACGCGGGCAGTGGGGAGGAGTGGCCGCGGGCTGGGCAGCTGCTGTCCGCCCCGCACACTGACGGGAGCTAGAGTGTCCCGTCTGTCATGGCGTCGGGGCAGCTGCGCCCGTGGCCAACGCTCTCCTCCCGACAGTTCTACGACGCGCCCTACGAGTACGAGCTGATGCTCAAGTGCCTGAACATCGTGTTCACGTCCATGTTCTCCATGGAGTGTGTGCTCAAGATCGTCGCCTTCGGGGTGCTGGTAGGCGCCATTCCTGGGCCGTGTCGTCCTAGAGGGGCCTTGGGGGCTCCTTGTTTGGAGCTGGAACTCTCCGAGCCCCAGAGCGCAGACGACCTGCGGGGGCCCATCACCCGATGCGGCCAGCTCCGGGGCAGGTCCCCCTCGGGGCACGTGGCTCTCAGCTCTGCCCCTGCCCAGTCTTGTGTCTGCAGGCCAGGCCTGCGCTGTCCCCCCTGGGGTGGCCCATCAGCTCCTGGCCCGTCCTGACTAGGCCCTCCTGGCGCCCCCGGCAGAGCCCCAGCCACAACACTGACCGCCCTTCTCTCCCTAGAACTACTTCCGAGATGCCTGGAATGTCTTCGACTTCGTCACGGTGCTGGGCAGCATCACCGACATCCTCGTCACGGAGATCGCGGTAAGTGCTCCCCTGTCCTTCGGGGCGCAGGGCGCAGGGGTCGCCCCAGCAGGTGCTGGCTCTTGGGTGAGACGCTGTCCCCAGAACGTGCGGCGGCGGCTCCTGTCACACCAGCAGGAGGACGAGAGCCCTTACGTGTGTGTGACGTGTGGCCCCAACTCAGAACCAGGACGAGCTCAGACTTGAAAGCCCAGGTGTGTTTTCTGTGGAAAGCGGGACAGTGGTCCTCCGTCGTGGACTGTGCCCAGCGCTGAGGGCTGAGCCAGGAAGCGCGTTTCTGAGCACAGCGCTCGGCGTCAGTGAAACGGCAGGTTCTCTGGGAGCTGACATGACATGGGCTCTTGTACGCGTGCCTGCGCGGGAGGCGTTCCTGACCCAGCCATGGAGAGAGCTGGTGGGGTGGGGGGAGGAGTGGAAGTGCCGGGTCTAGAGCCCAGGACAGGGCAGGTCTCAGACCCCAAGAGAGGCGGCTCCCAACTCCAGGGGCCAGGTTGGAGGGACAGCGGGGGTCTCACCATGAGGCTGTGCCACTCTGCCCACCTCACGTGTTCACCTCATCGATTCCGGGGTGGGGCTGGCCACCTGCAGGAGGAGAGGGCTGGGGGGAGCCAGAGCCCCCACGGCCGATGGGCCTGAGCTGGGCGGTGCCCATCACCCCCTTGCCCTGCGCCTTCCGCTGCTGCTGCCCTGGCCCGTGAGG